ATATATATATATATATATATATATATATATATATATATATATATATAAAATATATATATATATATATTACAATTATATTATATTATTTAAATTTATTTTAAATAGCACCCTGACAGAAATATTTTACTGAAATTCTCCCTCCATTGACCTCATTTCACTATTATTCCATAAGTTTCATGATACCCAACATAAAAGAAATTTTGTTATTGTTTTTTAATAGTATATAATTTAACTTTTCTTATATTTCATAGTATTACATTACATTTCATAAAGAAAGTTATTTATTTTGAAATATATTTAATAATTTTTCAATATTTCTTATTTCACTTTTCATCGATTTCATAGTACTTTCAGCAAAATATTTCCATTAGAGCCACCCGCTGAAAATATTATGAAATCGATGAAAAGTGAAATAAAAGTTATTGAAAAATTACTGGATATATTTCGAAATAAATAATAATTTTTCTTATAAAATGTAATGTAATACTGTGAAATATAAGGAAAAAGTTAAATTATACTATTAAAATGTAATAAAATTTCTTTTGTTAGGTATCATAAAATTTACTAAATTTAACTGAAAAAACTGAATTTTTGATGACTGAAATATTGATAGAATAACAATGAAATGGGATCAATTGAGAGAAAATTTCAGTAAAATTTTATTCATATTTTCAGTAAAATATTTCCATCAGGGCATTTTATAAAAAATGCATTTATCATAAAGTAAGATAAGATATGTTAGATAAGATATATCTTTCAACTTCTCTTTTAACATTTCATCTAATCGTTTTGATGAAAAGAAAGATACGTAAGTACAGATACATTTCAAATTTCCATTCGAAACAGATAATATATTTACCTCAAAATGTTTCTGTACCGCTTGCAGTTGCGAGCTGCAACGTAATTTTTCCATGCAAAAAATATAAATAATATTCATTACATTTTGTATCTCGAGTTCACGACGTTGGACATGCAACTCTTCCATTTTCTTCTTCTCAATTTCTCTGATTTTTACATCCTGTTTGAGATACTGTTTCCTTCGTAGATAAAAACCAATTTCATATATTTCACATATATTAGGATATTTTGCCGCGCGTCGAGAACCTTTTAAAATTTGTTATATTTCTACAGTATCTAGATACCTCATGATCTTATTAAAATCAGCAATCATCTTTTCTCTTTGCGCGCGATGAATTTGCTCAAACTCATTGTAGAGAGACGTAACGATCAAGTTTATTTGAGGCCGTATTTTTCTTAACACGTCGTGCGTTGTATCTATTCGCGCTTTTACGATGGCCTTTTGCAGTTCCTTGTTGCGTTTCTCATCTGTATCCCTCAACTCAACCTGTTGCACAAATATATTATAAAATAATTAATTGTCCCTTGCTGTGTTCGCAATTATGTGTATGCTGTTTTATGTCTACCTGCAACTTCTCCTCCAACTCTTGCTGTGCAAACCTGAAATACTCTTCGTATCTCGCATGAATTTCATCTGCGTTGCGTCTAACAGCAAATCTCTTTTCAGCCTCGAGCATATGACGTTCTTCCGCAAACTCATCCTTCAGCTTCCTCTGTGTCGCCGCTTCAATCTCCGCCTGAAATTTCTTCAGCTCACCTTCGCCCAACGCTGAACCAAGAATTTAAACATAATAAAACATCAACAAGCATATGTACAAAACATGCCTGATCCATCCGATTTCAACTTATTTAGATTTATTGAGGTATTACCTAGAATGTCGCTGTGCAAGTGTGACTTAAGAACTTCATGTTCTTTTGTCCACATTCCCATCGCGTCCGCCTTTAATTGACCGTCCTGCGTGGCGCAACATGATTGCTGTGAAAGTTTGGTAAGGGGTAACGAGTCCAACAGCTTCACCGCGTCCTGGTGACTGTAGTCGAGGAGAACTTGTGCCAACGAAGCGCCAAGACGCCGCTGGATCTCCGATCTCGTCGGACTCCCGTCTCGCGCGGCGCATTCCAACTTGCGAAATTTACGGGAGATACAAACTGCGTGAACACATTTGCAGAAATGAGGTCTTTGTCATCTCTATCGAACGATATCTTCCGTTAGCATCAGATTACGATAAACTCGTCGTGTATATCTTAGCGTAGCGTCGCTTACACATTGCGTTGTCAAGAAAGACTGCACATAATTGCTTTTTATTGCTTATTTATTCGATGGGAAATTTAACCCTCTGATCCTCGTGCAGCGTTGTGCGTCATTCCTAAACATGAAGAAACAAGTGAATAGATATAAGTTATGTACATACCCTGGTAAAAAAAATTTTCATATTTTCTCAAAAATTTTCAAAAAATTTCTCATGTTTTAAATTTATAAAAATTTCTGAAAAAAATATGTTAAATTTCTCAGATATATAATTGGATTTTTCAGAAATAATTGGATAAAAATTTTCGGAATATTTCAATATCTGTACGTATGAAAATTTCTGATGGTAATGCAATACGTCTACATGTCTCGTTTTGCGCGTTTCAACGTTAATTATTTACAGACGTTACTGGCGAAATGCTAGCAGCTTGTTATCAAATTAGAGTGGAGTATTGTGACAGAATATCGGTGTTCACGTCAATTATAATCCATAATCATCCGAAACCATTCACGATGCACTTGGATCGCGAATGAAATTTTCGCGCTCGCGATGGTTGGTCGCGCATGCGCAATGGCGGCGAGACTGCAGCGTCTGCAACGACTGTCGGATCCCACGTGTCTGATGTGCGTGTATTATGTCCGTTAGGCCGCGAGCCGTGTACTCCTGGGTGCCTTAGGATGTTTTGACAGCAAGATTTTGTTCGAAAGATGATACTTGTAAAGTGTGCTACGATGGAGCAGCTGATACGAAGAGGCGCCTTATTGGCGGTGGCATTAACACGCAGGTACATTTTATATATATAGCTTAAAGTTGTTTATTATTAGACATTTATAAACTTTACAGAGTATTTCTATATTTCGATCGTATCTCTCTCTTATCTCCTTTCTGCGAATTACCTTTCCAATGGATTGCATAATGCAACAACAAGCTGTATTGCGAATACCCTACTATGATTCCTAATTTATCTACCTCATCATTTGTCGCCAGGTCAACGGCACTTGGTACGTGTTACGTCCAACCATGCAGAGGCAAGAAAAGCGATACAAACGACAGCAATACAAACGTACCGGAATCTCTGTTCCATCCTGTGCCCATCAAACCGAATCCAGATGACATAAACGTTGGCGCTGAATTAACTGGGTCTTCGTTGAAGAAGACGGATCTCTTAAAGATATTGAATGCCTTCTCGCAGAAGACGGAAATCAAGGAATTAGCTCAGCAATACGGATTGGATCGTGAGTATCAATAATCAAATATACACGCACTGATCATGGTTTCTGACTACGGCATTGATTTCAGACTATCTCCAAGGGCAGGCTTTCACAAACTTTAAACAGTACTGTTTAGGAACGGAACCATTACCCGTAGATCTTTATGTAGTCCTGAGCGATATCCTGCAGGGTGCTGGAAATGTCGCCGATATTTTTCCGTACTTCATAAGTCATGCCAAGCAAATATTTCCGCATATTGATTGTTTGGACGATCTCAAAAAGATTAGCGATCTACGAAATCCTGCTTCCTGGTAAGAAAACGTAGATTTATATAATATTAAAGTTATCGAAATTTACTACCTTATTATGCAATCACTATTTTATTTTAGTTTAATATATATGTGTATATTTTAATATTTCAAGAAGAACATAAAATTTTCACAAAGTGATAAAACTTGACTATTGCTCTTTAGGTATCCTTTAGCAAGATCAAAAAGTAGAAAAATAATTTTTCACGCTGGACCAACAAACAGTGGGAAGACTTACCATGCTCTAGAAAGACTTATTACCGCAAAAAGTGGGGTGTATTGTGCACCGCTAAAGTTACTTGTTGCGGAAGTATTTCATAAATGCAACGAAAGGGTTGGTATTATATATTTACTTCAGTTATATTTGCCAAAGATAAGATAAAGGTAATAACATATGTAACATTTAATTTAGGGAACACCATGTGATTTGTTAACTGGAGAAGAACGAAAGTATGTCAAGGGTCACAATAACGCAGCGGATCATCTATCTTGTTCCGTAGAAATGGTGAATCTACAAAACAATTGTAAGTGTTATTATTCTGGCATCTTCAACACATAAAAAAGTTGCCAATACGATCATAATTTATTGCAGATGAAGTAGCTGTAATTGACGAAATTCAATTAATGCGTGATCTTAATAGAGGCTGGGCGTGGACGAGAGCCCTTCTGGGAATTCCCGCGGATGAGATACATTTATGCGGCGAAGCTGCTGCTATAGAATTAGTACGCTTTTTATCATTATATTGTATATTTAAAAATTATGTACCATTAATTGATGTCTATTAACCAAAAGTTGTATGTATATACAGGTAAAAGCCATATGTGTTTCAACAGGCGAAAACGTGGAAGTTCGTAGATATAAGCGATTGACGGACCTGGAGATAGAAAATCAAGCTGTTGAAACGTTGAATAACGTTATGCCGGGAGATTGCATAGTTTGCTTTAACAAAAACGATATATATACTGTGTCACGTTCTCTCGAGAGCAGAGGAAAAGAAGTGGCTGTAATATATGGCAGTTTACCACCAGGTACCAAGCTGGCGCAAGCTGCAAAATTTAATGATCCTAACAATTCTTGTAAAATCTTGGTAGCGACCAATGCCATTGGAATGGGTTTGAATTTGTAAGTTTTATGCATGTTTATGTGTTAAATCTGAAACTGTACGTTTATATTCTGAAGTTTTAAGTGATGAAATGTGTATCATTGAAAACGATTGACGAGTCCACGCATTGTTATAGGCATATCCGGAGAATTATATTTTATTCGTTGATTCAGCCAACGTCCAATGAAAAAGGTGAAAAGGAAATGGACGTTATATCTGTGTCAGCGGCTCTGCAAATAGCGGGTCGTGCTGGACGTTACGGCACAGTTTGGGAAACAGTAGGCATAATCCAATTTATCTCTATTAACGCTACAAAAAAGACGATGCAGAGAAAAGTGTAAAATATTAAAATACACTTTTGCTTCGCAGGGCTACGTAACGACGTTTAAACGGGAGGATCTCCCGACTTTGAAAAATTTATTGAGTCAAACGCCAGAGACAATAACACAAGCTGGTCTCCATCCAACGGCGGATCAAATTGAGCTGTATGCTTATCATTTGCCAAACTCGTCATTGTCGAATCTTATGGTGAGTACCGCGTGAAAACAGGAATGAAATTAATTGTAATCGTAAATGATGCCACTCATAACGCCTCATCCATTTTTTTAAGGATATTTTTGTGTCGTTGTGCACAGTCGACGATTCTCTTTACTTCATGTGCAATATAGACGACTTTAAGTTCCTAGCCGACATGATACAGCACGTTTTACTGCCACTCCGTGCGAGATACGTATTCTGTTGCGCGCCGATTAATCGGAAATCGCCATATGTGTGCACCATGTTCTTGAAGGCAAGTATTATATTACTACTGACTCTTAAAATTGATTAAAGTATTATTACGAAGAAAGAGCTCCCGGGGTTAATATAAAACCTGCTGTATTTTTAGAATATAATTTTCATTTTTACTCTTTCTTGTGATATACATAATTGTGCATTTTTTTTTAGTTTGCACGTCAATACAGTAAAAACGATGCGATAACATTCAACTGGTTATGCCAACATATCGGATGGCCCTTTCAAATGCCGAGAACTATCATCGATCTCGTCCATCTGGAAGGCGTCTTTGATGTATTGGATCTTTACCTCTGGTTAAGGTATAATGAGATTGTAACTTAATTATGTGTCTTTTTTTTCGCGTTCTTATATTCATTTTATTATCTTGTATTCTGTAGTTACCGTTTTATGGACCTGTTCCCGGATGCTGAAATGGTCCGTGACATACAGAAGGAACTTGATGCACTCATCGAGGCGGGAATAGTTAGATTAACGACTTTGTTGTTGAATTCAGATGCAGGTAAATGTGATTCTTTTGAAACGAAATATTTACAATATAATTTGTGATCTTCCGCTACTTTAATTTCTGTTAGTTTAATAGAAATATACGTATATTACGTATGTGTGTGCGTGTGTAAATTTTATCTTATATATTTTATTAAGATCGATTTTTATAATACTAGTTGTGAAGTGTTTAACATACAAGTCTTTTTCTATTATTTAGGTGGAGAGCCCGATAGTTTTGAGTTGCAGACACAAAAACAAAACTTTTACAGAGGTAAATTGCTGTTTATGAAAAATAATTATACATTCGTGATGCCTGAGTGCTAAATTATATGGATCATTTTTTAGATTTTAAAGGACCTGGCAAACGTACTGTAGGTAAAGGCAAATTGACTGAAAGATTAATAGCGGAGGGACTCTTAACACCACAGATGTTACGTGAACTGCAATCTGAATGGATTAGGTCAACGAAAAAGAAAAAATAATATGACTGTATAGCGATAAAATGTTAAAATTTATTAAAAGAATTTCTTTTATTGCGAACTGAATTAAGAAAGGCATAATTAAGTTTACGCGATATGAATAATGACATAATACCTTTAAGAGAGTATTGACATTGCAAATAATACCAATGTTACATACAATTTAATGTATAAAAGAATCATGTCATTGTAAGTATTATGTTAATATTCTACGTATCGCTTTTATGTAGTTTCGTCCATATATATTTATATATATATATATATTAAACATTTTCCTACAAAAATATAATCTCCATTTTTTACCCATATATAAGCTTTATGCTCTGTAGATTTTATTTTCGTAACTGAAAAAAAGATCTGAGCTTTCTGGTTGCACATTTAATATTATGATATTGTTTTCACTCGTGAATAATTACAATAATTTGATATGTATTGACTATAACCCAGATAACATGCATGTTGCATAAGACGTCGTAAAGATACTTTAAGATATCTTATGCAACATGCATGTTATCTGGGAATCTTCATATTAAATGAATTATTGCAGTTAATTCAATTTATATTAATTAGTCGCGATTTAAATTATAAGAAATCCATCTTCATATAGCCATCACGTGGAACAAGGTCAGCTACGAAGGTTTACAAACTGATGTTTAGCATGGTCCCGAAAACATACCGGCATATAAGGCTATATATATTATTTTATATTGTGTTTCATAACGAGCAAAGTTGTTGTTTATGAAAAAAGCAAATTTTAATACCGGCTTATCAATATACCGACTGATAAGTTTAAATTATCGATCAATGATCGTATCCGTATGATGAAAAAATCGGTATTACAATGTACATTTAATGCATGTACATTTTTCATAAAGAATTGTGATCATTATAAAACAATATACATAATACATTTAAATTATTGATCATATGGATAATATATTATATGTATGCACTAATGTCGCTTCATGACTTCGCGAATCCAGTCTATATATGAAGAAACCTTAGTAAACAAGTGAAATTTTTTGCTAGGACAAGATTGGTCTCCCGGGTCTCCGTAAGTCATAATACCTATTTGAAAGTCCTGGCCATTTTTTCTTACGATGAGAGGATCACTGCTGTTTCCCTAAAAATAAAATATTATTTAACAAATATTAAATAACTGTTACGAAAAGAGAGAAACTTTCGAATTTTATTTATTAAAGCTGACTAAAACGATATAATATGATTTATGCTGCGCGTTAGAATATTGCACTTATACATGCAATTTTTGTAGTATATTATCATAAACAGTAACTTTATTATTTGTGATTATATTTTACCTCGGGACAAGCGAATTGTCCAAATCCTGCGAACGTGCAAATGTGGTTGTCGTTGATGGGCCAGTATTGCCTGCATATATTATTTTCTATAATCGGCAACGTGGCGTACTTAAGTTTAACTGTTGTACTTTTGTTAGCCGTGTTATTTTCTTTTTCCAACCGATCAAGTTTTCAACCGACCACATACGCATATTTGCTCTCGTAATATGTAAAGCTTTCGTAATATGCGAGTTTTACTGACTGAATATTATCTAAAATAGAGAAATATTATATTTAACTAATAATTTCTTGAAATCAATATTAAGGCATGATATACATTCGTAATACTTTTTCAGTAGTTTTATAAATTGTGACATTTTTTTAGTACGCATCAAAGTATATATCCAAGATTATATATATCCAAGTATACAATCCAAGTATATATCCAAGATAGCATATAAAAGAAACTGTACGTAGATATGCAATACGATTTTTTATTTCCACGAGTCTCCGTTCCACATGCATTTATAAGATCTTATTATTCAAATCATTATTAACTTTCCGCATATTTTCTATAGAATAATTAAATACTGCCGACATATAAATAAGCGCAAAAGGAAGAAGAAAAAGAAATATCAATTTAAATGTACTTATTGGAAAAAGGAATATCTTGTGGCATATAGAGTAAGGCAATATCATTGTTGGCCCTTTCGTATTGCGGATGTATAAACGTTTGAGTCGGAATCATCAGGACACTGCTGAAGTCTCGAAGAAGATTGTGACCAATTCCAAACTCGTTGATGAGAATACTACGAAAAATGTACTTATGTATATATTGGAAAAAGGAATATCTTGTGGCTTATAGAGTATTAAGGCACCCCTTACAAAAAAGTATTACTAGCTGGTTAGTAATAAATACTTATTTTGTGTATTAATAATACTAAAATTAAGTATTTATTAGTACTTGAATCACTGTGATCCAAGTATTGCATAGTATTTTATTACTGGTCAGTAATTTATGAAAGTAGTATTTAATACAGGACGAGTATTGAATACTTAGTATTAAATTTCTGATGAGAAAGCATTTAATACTAGGTGAAAAATACTTGTGTAATAAATACTTGTGTTGAATTACTGATGAGTATTTCAATGTTAGTACTGAAGTACTGAACCAAGGATTCCATGTGTAATAAATAACTGGCCAGTATTTTAATATTAATACTCAAGTACTGAACTGAATATTCCATGTAAAATTAATCACTGACCAGTACTGCAATTTGTATAGAAACATTATAATGGGTAATTCCTGATAATATTAAGGAAAAGAGATAAAAGTAAGGCACAAATACATTTTATATGAAGGTCTGTACTAATTCGTCGTGATAAAAGTGTACAAGTTTTGAAATAGTACTGAGGATATCATTTTAATATTCAATTCAAAATTTTATTACTTTTTTTAAACTGAATTTGTTTCTTAAGATGATTTTTAAAAAATTATATATTTGCGCTGGTTATGATACATGTAGACTATATATAACACTTACATCAAATTAAGAAGTAGTCTACCACGTAAGGCAGTTGGCTCACGATCCAGAGGTCCCGAGTTCGATCCCACCAAGGTAAGTGTTTTTTAAATACGAGAAAATATTTATAATTATAAACTGCATCTTAAGAAACAAATTTAGTTATAAAATAGTAATAAAATTTCGAAAAAAAATAATTTTTTTTTATGCCGGGTAAATATCGGAAATCGAAATATTGGTGAGTAATTCAATACTAAGCACCAGTAGTTCTGTGTAGTATTAATCACTACCTATAATATTTATCACTACCAGTATTTTCCCAGTATTTCCCAAATAAATATTGACAGTATTAAATCACTGAGATTTTAAGTATTTAGTCAGTAATACTTTTTTGTAAGGGTCATCATATATTATAGCACTTTGGCGTATTGCAAATGTATAAACGTTGAGTCCCAATCATCGACATACCGGTCAGTCGAGAAAAACCCTGTGTAATGTCAAACGCGTCAATGCCGAAATCTACCAAAATATTTTTTGCGACGCAGTGGGTGGCTGTGAGAACCCATCTTTTGGATAAGATCGTGCCAGCACACAGTGTCGCGGTGCCGTCCAAGATTGAGTACACCATTACCATGTATGGAAAGCTTGGGAACTTTAACGCAGTTGTGGATCCCTCCGTTATGTTAGTTATTGCTTCATCTATTAAAAAAAAATGTCAGTGTAAAGAGAAATGATTATTATTAGCTTAATTCGATGGTAATTATTTAGAATAGGGTTTTTTCCAGATTTTGATATTTTTTTGCGGCTTTCTTGGTAAAAATCTTTGTTGTGACTCCTACAGTGATAATCAATCGGGGGAGCCCGAAAAATATGTGCCTTATTTATTTCTTTTTACTTATTTTTTACCTATTTTTTCCGACGTGGCTTTCCGGATCTTCCGACGTTATAAATATATAGTGACTCTTAAAAGGACCGATTTTGGTCCTGTAAAGAACCGGTAGTAATTCGTGAATCTTGTCTATTTTGTTGCGTTATTTCGGTGTCCAACAGTTTGTGTCAATATTAAAGAAAGTAATTTGCTGATATGTGTGTATAGACCATAGAGATATAAGAATAGAGTGCGCGAGTCATATGCTAGCATGTAAGAGGCTGCGATATAGGAATAGAAAAAGAACGCTGCATATAGGCCCTTTCTGTCTTTGTCTACGCGTGCATGCGAAACAAAGACAGAAGGGGCCCATGCGCAGCTTTCTCTTTTTATTCTGCGCAGCTTTCTCTTTCTATTCCTATATCGCTTTTTCAGCTCGCTCGCGCACTCTATTCTTATATCTCTATGGTATAGACAGTAAGCGAAAGTCAGTGGGGGTGGATCTCGGTTCGCGTGGAGAGTTGAAAACCCGAAAAATGATGATACGGAAAGTACAATGCTGTCCAGAGAAACATTCATGCAAACCATTCATTCAACTCCTGTCCACCCCCGCCTACATGTCTACTTTCAAGTAAAAAAAGAAAATTGAACGTTTGCGTGGAAGTTGAACAATACTTAAAAAAAAAAGATAAAAAAGTAGGTAGGGTACATATTTTTCGGGCTCCCCCAATTGATTATCACTGTCAGTGTCAAAATAAAGATTTGTAGCAAGAGAGCCGCAAAAAAGTATCAAAATTCGGAAAAGGTCCTATTCTAAATAATTACCAAATTAAATAAAACTTTTTTAATTTTTGCTTTGTCTTACCATTATTCGCGTCAAGAACGATAGCATCGATGGGATTGTCGGATGTGACGTTTCTAGATTCGTTTCCCAAGTACAAACTTTGAGTATATAATTGACACATTGACAAACAGAATACAATGCACAGTAATATCTTCGTACTTAGCGGACTCATAATAGTCTGTTCTGCGTGTTGTCCCTGCAAATTTCCCATTATTATGCAGTTGCGTCGATATTCAGGCAATAATGACTAATCAAATTATTAACACTTTTGACAACGTTTTTGTGAACTGTATTAGATGTGAAAACTCCGGAAAATACTGCATGCAAATATACATACCATATTATTGCATGAAAGACACTAGCTTGTGCACATTATTTTCGATTATTTTTAATTAAAGCGATTATACTATACGTGTCTTTATTAAAGGTATTTTTTATCGCTTTTATATTGTCCACGCGTATTGTGGTAAAAATCGGGACTTTTAATTATTTATGTATTAAAATTCGAGAAACAAAGCGCAAAGAAATTGGAGACCTTTTTTCTCCGAAAATTTAAGCATTATTAATTAATCTTCATTACCTTTTACAAGTTCTTTGAAATTCTATTAATATTGTTTATCTTTGGTTGATTGTCGGTAGTCCGCAGATATTATTTTTATAATTTTTAAGAGGTGATTGTTATTCTAACAAAATGTAATGTGCGACTGTTGGTAGTATTTCCATTTT